GTGTCCGCTTTTTTAGACTACAAAAGTTTGTAGTGTGTGCCTTTTCATTAGAAAAGTTTGTAGTGTCCGCTTTTCAGACTACAAAAGTTTGTAGTGTCCGCTTTTTCATTAGAAAAGTTTGTAGTGTCTGCTTTTTGAGGCTACAAAAGTTTGTAGTTGACATATAGTTTATAGTGTCCTTGACTCTGTATAGGTTATGGGGATGAGGTTAAAGGATTGACATGATTTTACATATTGCCATTGCTGCAGCATTTACTTTTGACATCATGTACAAATTGTCTTTCACATCAAGAAAGGCTATTCTATGCCTTCATATTGATAGCTACTGTCCTATCTCAAACCATACTTGTAGGTTTATGGGGAACTGGCTAAAGGATTCACATGACTTTACATATTGATTGCTATTGCCACATCATCAGCTTTTCACATCATGCCCAAGTTGGCTTTCAAGCCAGAAAATGCCATTCATAGTAATATCTACTCAATACATTGTTAACTTACATCATGACCTGACTTAAGGATACTTCCAGGGACCAATCAGCTCATCCTATTGCCCTGAAAGAGCTGATATCACAGTTGACTAGGTTTGGGACAGGCAAGTAGCTATCAATGTGAAAGCAGACAGACCAAATGAAAGGGCCAGATGCCCCAATGAAATCTCCCAATGAAAAATCTAATGAAATGGTCAAGGAGTGTAATGAAATATCCTAATGAAAGCACCAAGAAGCATTCTAATGAAAATTCAATGAAATGGTAATGAAAGGGTCAAGGAGCTGAATGAAATATCCCAATGAAAATTCCAAGAAAACCTAATGAAAGTGCCAAGAAGCCTAATGAAATATCCTAATGAGAAATATAAAAAATCATAATGAAAAAGCGCAGGAGCCTAATGAAATATCCTAATGAAATTTCTATGAAATGGTAATGAAAAAGCAATGGAGCCTAATGAAATATCCTAATGAAATTTCTATGAAATGGTAATGAAAAAGCACAGGAGCCTAATGAAATATCCTAATGAAAATTCTAAGAAATGATAATGAAAAAGCGCAGGAGCCTAATGAAATATCCTAATGAAAATTCTAAGAAATGGTAATGAAAAAGCGCAGGAGCCTAATGAAATATCCTAATGAAATTTCTATGAAATGGTAATGAAAAAGCACAGGAGCCTAATGAAATATCCTAATGAAAATTCTATGAAATGGTAATGAAAAAGCACAGGAGCCTAATGAAATATCCTAATGAAAATTCTAAGAAATGATAATGAAAAAGCGCAGGAGCCTAATGAAATATCCTAATGAGAATTCTAAGAAATGGTAATGAAAAAGCGCAGGAGCCTAATGAAATATCCTAATGAGATTTCTAAGAAATGATAATGAAAAAGCGCAGGAGCCTAATGAAATATCCTAATGAAAATTCTAAGAAATGGTAATGAAAAAGCGCAGGAGCCTAATGAAATATCCTAATGACAATTCTAAGAAATGATAATGAAAAAGCGCAGGAGCCTAATGAAATATCCTAATAAAAATTCTATGAAATGGTAATGAAAAAGCGAAGCAGCCTAATGAAATATCCTAATGAAAAGTCTCAGAAATGATAATGAAAGGGCCAAAGAGCCTAATGAAATATCCCCATGATATCTCATTATCCTTGTCTATAACTTATGAAAGATTCCAGTGATAAATTGAATGAAATAGATGGGCAATCCTAATGAGATGCCTTTCATAAAACCTGTGGCATTATACACAATGGCTCTTGGACAGTTGTCATAGATTAATCATAAAAGTGGTAGCCACCAGTCGTTCATCCGAGGTGTGGGGATCGCATCATATGGCAGAATAAATGGGATGGGTCGTGTACCTTCATGAAGGAAAAGGTCACAGATGCGGTTGAGGTAGGGTAAAAGGGTCCGACGAAAAGAGAAGAAAGCCTGTTGGACAATCAATAGAGAGGAAGGGTGTCAAAGAAGCGTTTACCTACCAAGGTGCACACACATATCGACGTTGATGTTGGGTTCATACCCATATCAACGAGAATCTTCTTCCCATTAGCAGGATCGTTAATTTCTGATGCTCAACTGAACAAAGTTGAACAACCTACATCTATTCGAAAGTATGGCCTTAGCCTGGTGCGTATCCATGACGGTGTCACAGAGATGAAGATCCAAAATGCATCTTCCTCTGAAGCCAAGGGTAAAGGCTGCCCAACGATGAGCGTTAATCCTGGCGAGATAAGCGTTAGCCTCATGACGTAGAGAGGACAGGAAGTGGGAACATGCCTCTCGAATACTGAATGCCAGGGACCATGTTGATATACGTCTGCAACAAATTCAACACCGGCCCCTGCAAATGGGGTTGGTCCTAGAAGAACCGCGATCCCATATCTTTCTCAATCTCCCCAGAAGCAGGGACACCTCCCCTCGAACACGTAAGGTGTACCCAAACAAGGTAACACACGGAAGACGGAACAGCTTCTTGCAAGAGCTCCCACACCTTCTTGCTCTGACATGCCTGCGCCGGAGGCCACGTGGACATCAGCGCCATCCATTTAGATTCCCGTTGACGATGAGCGTCCATGGAGGATTCAGCGTCAGCTGCTGGACGAGGTGTTATCGCGGAAATGTTGGTGAGGGACGGCGACAATCAGGGCCCGTCTACAGTAGGGGACCGATGCACGGGCGCATCACCTCCAAACGAACAGAGACAGCAGGAATATCAGCACGCAAGAATCCATCTTGGCGTAAATCCAAGGAATGAGTCTCGCGGCCTAGAAGATTCTAGTCTTCACTCACCCTTGCAGCCTGTGACTGCGCAAAATGAGGCTGCGCAAGTTCGAACACCGTATCCTGCACCTGCAACATCTCCTGCTCTGCTGCATGGTCGATGGAAAGAGCCCAAGCTATCCTGGCGACTACGGTTCTTGCGAGGGGTTAGGAAGGGAAAGTTTTGTTAGCAAAGATGGCTGACGGCCAAGGCTTCCAGAGGGAAAGGAGGTAAATTGGAATCGGGAGCTGTGAATCGATGCTGCGTCCGTCATGTCCTGCGTCGATGAAGAAGATGGGGGAGCGGGTGAGGTGCCACCAATTTGAGTAGATTGACTTGGATTCTGGGGTGGAGACTTGAAAAACGAGGGCGCTTGTGGTGGTGGAGAAGGCGATGTTCCTGGTCCCGAAGAAGCTAAAAGCCCAAAAGCCTGGGAGGGCTTCGGAATCAGCCCACCTCTCTCTTTAACTTTCTTGGGAAAAGGAGGTTGGTTCAACATCCACCTGGACATGAGATGTCTCAATCCCCCATTCAATGGCACCAGAAGTGTTACCATGAGTCGGGGACGAAGGCAGCAGTGAGGGGAGTGTTGGAGACTGAGCAGATGGTACCATTACGGACTGTGCCAAGGGGCTACTAGGCAACTTCAACACAACTGCACCAGGACGCAATCTGCCCCCTGTGATGGTGTTCCGCAGCAGAAAGAGTGTGGGAGGGAGTCGGGGATGAAAGGGGGAAGTCTTGGTGGTGGTTTGCCATTAGGTGTTGGGGAGAGCGATGTTGAAGAGTTGTTGCGCCGGGGAAGATGTGGATTGCTTGATACCGGACAGATCATCACGACCAAACCTACAGAGCAAGTTATCGAGTTAGAATCATTCCAGGCCAAAAACGTTGGATACACATACCTTCGTTGGACAGGGGGGCACGACTTCTGGGTTCTTAGTTTTAGTTTCAGAGTTGAATCCCGAGAAACTCCTCAATCGTGGGCTTGACCCAGGTCCTTTGGGGAAGAAAATAGGTCGTGGAATGACGCCTCCGGCAGCCTTTGTTCTGTAGCTAACACGGCACCACCAGCCCCTCAGATGAGGACTCAGGAGGAAGATTCTTTGTAGAGTACGTGCATCCTGAACAAAACGTTGGTCACAGTCTGTCAATCATGGTAGGGTGCAAACTACCATTAAAGTGCTGAAACATGAGGATACCTGAGCTCCAGGGCTCCTTGTCCTAGGATTGGGCAATAACTTGAATATAACATAGTTTACAACGAGGCAGAACATACTTCTGATGTTGCTCTTGCCCAAAGCTGTATGAGCTCCATCTTTCAAACACAATCGTCGTGAGGCCTTCAAAGACCGGAAACTGGAGAGCGGTTGCGTCAAGCTGTACCAGGCATCCCCGAGCTCCATCTTTTACGAACTCACAACGTCCAGAAGGTCAATATTTGTCTTTGTTGTGCTTGAAGCTCTGGAACACCGCCACTCCGAGTCCATCACTCAGTACTCACCAATCGCGACTTGTGCGCAAAATCAAAACTCCGTGAAACATGGCTTTCGATCTAAAATACAGCACACTATTTCTATCACCCGAGAAACTCAGATACGATTCGGAAAGCAAGCACAAACTTTACGAGGTCAACCTGCCAATCGTGTTAAATTACAATCACTGTACTCAAATTTTGCACCATCCAGACTATCTGCAAAGCTTTCGACACATCCCCCACTCAAAATGGGGCCGGGCACAACTTTTTTATAAGGGTGAAACAGGATAATAAATCTGTGAGATAATCAAGTGAGATGGAGTACTCATAACTTACTACCTTTTGGCATCATCAAGGAGAAGGATCCATGGTATGAACATGCTGAATGCCCAGTAATTTTTTCCTCATGTAGAAATCCATATCTTTAACACACACTCCTTCAAATTGTGCTACTAGATTTGCCAAATGGAAGAAAATGCCACTCAGCTTCTGTCATGTGGGTGCAAAAAGGTCATTTATTCCTTGGTAAGGTTCTTCAGCCACTTCCACACACTATGTATCCTAATGCTAAAATTTTTGAAACAAGAAATGCATTAATTCTTGGGCTGAGGAAAATGACGACAATCTAACATGTGTGTCTTTCTATAGCTACAAACTATAGGTCTCACAAGTCATCGTTAGGTCCACTTTGCCGAGCTTTGGTTTTTTCGATCCACAAATCTTGGATTCTTCTGAACAAGGAAGATCGAAATGTCAGGTGGCAGTTGAAAAAGAAAAGCGCATCAAGGAAAAAACACCAGAAGACCTATGAGAAGCGGAGGTTGAAGCGGGAACTTCAACAAAACACCACTGGACCATCAAATCATAACCCATTGGAAAACTCACAAGCTGGTGATGATAGCTTCAAAGAATGGCTTCAAAGTATCAAGCAGGTCAAGCTAAAATTTTGAGCTGTTCAGAAATGTAGTGTTTAAACTCTTGAATTGACTTGAGATTTGATATGCATTCTGGAAAGTGACATCCACAATTTGTCCACGATGAACATCTGCTGCATCATTTGATTCTGCCACACATGAGGTTTTATTTCCAAAGTTGAAAAACATCTTTCCATAGCACGTTGGTACTCATCTTCAATTTTCGTAGTACAACTTTCATTCACTTATTTAGTCACTTTGGATCTCAAGTATGACATCAACATGACTTGAAACAGAAAAGAGAATAGCATTGATGTTCAGTATCAAATACACGATCATGTACACGATGTACAGCAGACGAGTACTGGATAAAGCCCTAGCTAGAGACTACTTTGAAGACTTCTCGCCTACATCCATCCAGTTGCCGCTACTCAATTTCAAATTTGCCCGCAACCGCTATCTATGGGGTTCGTTTGCTGGTCTGGAGGAGCAATGAGATTGCACATTAGCATGCACAAGAATGAGGGTAACACGGCACACACCAATGCCCCATCCTCCTAGTCTCCCGTAGGCTACTCCTATGATGATGTTGATGACAGTCAATCTCCCTCATGAAAGGCTAGATCGGCGACGAGAATTATCAGAAGAGAAGTCAAATCAAAAACCCATCCGCCCTGAGGGAGAAAGGTGAAAACTTACACAGTGCATGGGTCTTACAGCTCCGTTTCCCTCATTGCATGTTTCACGAGAGTTGCCAGTGACTGCTTGCTAAAGTATGAAGCAACCTGCAGAGATGAGTGTTATATTAAGGCCAATACAGAGAGTAATGAGAGAGATTCATACTGTCGTTGAGGCAAGATCTGTTGAACTGTCCTACTTTAGAAAGACTGCAATTTCAAGGAGAGTTGAATGGAACGACCAATGAACACTTACCAGATGTATTGTCATGAGCAGCTAAGGTGCGGTTTGGATGGGTTGCCGATGATGTGAAGGTGAGACCTAAATTTGTGGACAAGTGGAGAGGAAGATAGGTGGATGACTGTGAGGGTAAGACAGGCGGAGAAGAGGGTGAGTGGCAACCTACCAATACAATCGGTATCAGCAAAGGGGGGGAGTCAAGGGGGAGCTGGTGGGGAAGGGAGAAAGCAAGGCAAATTTTCTCTTCTGAGTCTTCACAAGCCTGCTGGTTCAAGTCCACTGAAATAGGCCGAAATCGGGTCTTACCGATTTGAACAGATGTTCAGACTATATAGAAGATGAGCCAAATCTGCTGGTTTGCGTTGCGTTACAAACATTGCTAAAACTTACCTGCTGAGATCGGGCGAGTTATGATGAAATCTGACCATGGTTTAGGGCTCTTCTGCATCTCCACAGGTGGCACCTTCCCATCCCTAGTGCCCACAGTAATGTACATCCGTTCCCTCACATCAACCCCGAAACGAACAGCGCACCCTCCTGCCGTTCGCCACCCTCACCTTCTTCAACACCTACATCATTCACAGACACAGCCATCACCCTCCCATCCCAAACCATGCTCTCCCTGAGCCTGCCTTGAGCAAAGATGGAGAGCTGGATGCTTGGAACCCCGCACACCGATCCCACAACTCCTCAACGTGGGCAGCTCAGTCCTATGCACAATAGTGAGGTGCGGCCTCTTCATCAACCTCCCAGACTTCTTCAGCTGATCACAAAACCTTTCCCCCTCCGTCCCCGCAAGCTGCACATCCAACAAATCCACAAAAGGCAGGAGCCCATGATACCTCGCCTCTGCCTTCTTCTTGGGATTGTCGGGCTTCTTTAACGAGGGCTTGTACCCCTTCACCACTCTATCCCCTCCTTGACTTTCACCTCACCCAGATAAGAGATCCCCAAGATCCTCACTACACCCATCGACAGCCCTCTCCAACGCCTCTTCAAGCGAATCCTCCAGCTCCATCTGAATGCACTCGTTCACCTTGATCAGAGCAAGTTCTTCCATCGGGTTGATGAACATACACACAAACTCTTTGTGTGCTTTACAGGCCAAGGGGCTGGTGGAAAAGTGCAGAGGGGGAGAGCCAGTGAAGAGCGTAAAGTTGGGGATGTGGTGTTTAGAGGCCCTCCTGCAGGCTCTGAAACATCCATGGCATCCAGGGCTTGGGCTCGGTGTGCTGCAAGGCCGAGGACGCAGTTCCATTGTGAGGAGAATGTGTTGGTAGGGTATAGTAAGGGAGACGTCTCCGTAGGTGAGGTCTTTATTGTCCTCCACTGATTCCTGCCGGAATCCGGCGGAATCCGGCGGAATCCGGGGAATTCCTGGAATTCCGGAGGAATCAAATTTGGCAGAGGGCCCTGCCAAATTGATCAAACAATTCCGCGGAATTTTGAATGGAATTCAAATTCCGCCGGAATGATTCCGGTGATCACCCGGAAGGAATAGCCACGGAACGAGACGGAACGGAATTTCTGATGCCCAAATCAAGCGTCGGCAAACGCCGACGCTCGATTTGGGCATCAGAAACAAACAACCCACTCTCTCATCTCAACCACCACCATCGTCGACGACGCCCACCCATCGCCACGTCACCACCATCACCCGTGGTCACCACCACCCACAACGCTCGTCAACCGGCAACCACGACCACCAAACACGGGAACGCCACGTCACCGATGCCACGTCGCTATCAGCGACGTGGCAACCAAACGACGAACGACGAACGACGACGACGTCGTCGTTCGTCGTCATTCAGAGGTGAGTCCCCCCCCTCCTCCATCCCAACCCACCCCGCTAACACTCACCAAAACGCGACCCAACGACAACCCAACGACGACGCGACACAACAACGACGCGACCACGCGACACGACAACAAGAACGCGACACGACCGGCAACGCGACACGACGGCGACGCACCGCGACAACGACAACACAACACGACGGCGACGCGACAACGACAACGCGACGCGACAACGACAACGTGACGCAACGACGACCACGCCCACAACAAGGGACGGACAGCACGTCAGTGCCCCACCACGTTAACGGAGGGCCACGCGAACAGACGACCCACGCCCCACCACGTCAACGGACCGCCACCACATCAACAGACGACGCCCACGTCAGCGGAAAACGACCACATAAGCGGACGACGACGACGTCAGCAGACAACGCCCAC